GTAATCTCGCTTGCATGGCTCAATTAATCAAGTAAAACAGTCAGTTAGTGACCTTCAAGGACGGAGCCGAGTGCCCTATATTCGATTCTTACCTACTGTCTAAATAGTAACATACGCCATTACTTGCGATATTTAGCTTGACTATCCCTTTCTGAATCTTAGCAACGCTCTATTAAATGCTCTATGAAACATTCGATTATTTGCCATCAATAAATTGCCGCGTCATGCCTACACCAAATAAACTAATAAACGTGTTAGAGCTCATGGCTCAAAGCTGTTTGATTGTAAAACAAACACTTTTTCCGACATTCTTAATCTGGTGGCGTCAGAAACATATGAACTCGTTGATTAGCGTTTGTTAAGACTCTATTAGCTATAACACCCTTGGTATTATTTAAATGGTAATGCCAAATATAAAATGCTAGCTTCCTCGATCGTTTTGCTTCTTGGTTTCGTTGTAATATGAATTGACACATAACGCGCAATGTTCATGCAATATTTGCTATGATAAGGTATTTTATTGTACTCTACGAGTAAATTCCACGGTACAAACGCGAACGATACTTAAAGAATCAGTTTCAAACAAAAAACTGACTTTATTATGAGTAGTAGAACAAGTTGTTTCTTAGAGATTGAGTTTTAGATATTTCCTTGCAATAAATAAATATTCTGCCTTACAATATAATTGTAAATTTCAAAGTTTTATTTTATCAGTTGTTGGAATCGTAGAGTAAAAATTATTTCAACGTAATATACATTTTCTTATAAATGTGGGCTTATTGTACTGTTTGTAGGTTTATAATGCATTAAAACACTTGGTAATTAAAAATAGTTAATTACTTGTTGACAAATATTCCAGAATAACATTAAAGAGTCATCTATTAACTAGATGTAGAAAATAGAATAAAGGCAAAACTGCACATAAAATACAAGCAATTCATTTTGTAGACTTGATTCCTATATCATAATGGTCCAGCTAGGTCGAATCAATTCTCTGATTTATTAAAACGTGGCGTCACAAATTGCCCATTAAAGCCACTGACAATGTTGCTGTTTCTTTTCTTTTTATTTATGTTCAGAAAATACACTTTACATTTTATTCTGTAGGTTAAAACTGTCCTTTATTTACATAATAGATAATTTGAGTGTTCTGAGTTTCTTAAATCTTTTTATTAGTTTTGAACTATACAATTTCTCGTTTTAATATTTTTTAATCTTGAGCACTAAGCAGGTATTATAATTTTATTATATCCTTGTTTAGACACGTTACATTTACAGTGGTAGGTAAATGGATAAAATGCGTTTTACTTTAGTTAGGTGTTATATTCACAAGTAGACTGAGCAATGGAACTTTTTCAGGATTCAATTGATCAAATAGTTAAACTGACACATGAACATTTATTTAAATGAAACGTCTAACTTGATTTAGATACGATTTCCAAAGGCTTTTTAACTATTAATACCTATATAACCACCAAATACTCAATAAAGCCATATGAGCCTGTAAATGTACTAAATGAATAGTAACATTGAATTGTTTACTGAGGTTTTTATACAATTTTAGCCTTTGCCCGTGGCTCCGCTCGCGTGTTTCGGTTCGTTAGTGACTAAATTGCCAACATTTCAAGAAAGTGTATTTACTCGGTCCTTATTCCATGAATTTTCTCCAAAGTTTTCATAATTACTGTTAATTTAAATTAAAGAAGTAAGAATTAGTTGTTTACTTATTCGCAAGTTGCTTTTAAAGTAAACCTAATTTTTACGGTGGCTTTTTCTATATATGTATTCAATAGACTGTAATTCTACTTACGTTACTTATAAAAAACTATAAGGGTTCCTTGTCAGGACTACGGAACCCTAAAAAGCGCGTGCTCAGACACGTCGCCAGTGTGTATGAGCCCTAAGATCTACAATCTGGATAACCTTCAAGTTATTATTACACATTCTAAAACCATTTTATTTTTATTTGCGTAACCCAATGGTGTTTGTAAAAAGTCTCTAATCTGAAGATAAGAAAATGAGTGTTATTCATCAAAGCGCCTGCGCCAATTGTGAAGTTGCGTGTTTCCCACGTGTGACAACGAGTGAGTTAATTTACGTAGGAGTTGTTACTGCGTTTGTTAGGTATATTCACTCGATTATACAGAGTTTTCCATATTCTATTAGAAAATGTTCACCGCAGAAAGGTATTTTAATCTATCATTCAATTCCTTACAATATAAGATAGCTACTACCCTTTGTCTAACTTTTGGGTCATGAGGCATGAGGTACAAGTCTCTACTCTTTTTAAAATGATTTAAGTTTATATTTATATAATAATGTCAGATAATACTTAGGTCCGATGCTAGAATGAAAGAGGTAACATTTGTCAATTTGTTCCTGCTTATTTTAAACACTCGCTCTCTAAAACAATTTGCGTAGACATTGCTAGAATGTATTTAAATAGGCGTCGATAATTGTAACCGTATCTTATACTGTATGGTTGTGTACTGTATAACAAACAAAGTAGAACGTTAACTGCAAAAAGTACATAAATTAAAATAAATAGTTATACTAAACTAGAGTAGTAATAGTTGTACTAGATAAATAAAGTGCAACAACTCAAGTTTAAAATGTAAATAATTCCTTTTCTCTTAAAATCTACCCTTAAGAAGTCGTGGGTAATGTCAATAAAATAAAACAACTAAGCATCGAAAAATAAACATTTAATATTATGTTCTTATAAACGACTGAACGAAAGAACAACACCTTTATTTCATAGTTATTTTGACTTAATTAAAGGTACTTACATATTCCAAATGTTGAATAAGTAAGTTACTTTCCTTACAGGCTCTTATCAGGAAAACAAGGTTCAAATTATCTATTTGAATTCAAGCTTGTGTCAGTTCTCTGTATTATGAAACCAGGCTTAAAACTCTTTTCATATACAATTACCATAAATAAGTACTCGTACTTTGATTGGGCTAAATTAATTTTAGCTTAACACTATTGAATTCAAAAGGGCTTTGAGCTTGGTTTCGTAATACTCTTTTCAAATACTAGACCATGCTTTGATTGGTCGAATTTTAATTTAAACTTGAATCTGTTGTATTTGAAAAAAGCTTTGAGCTTGGTTTCATAATACAACCGTAAATATAGCACAGTCGCGCGTGCGTGCGTACACGCATCTAGCCGCGCCCTGCGCGTGCGCGGCGAAAAACTACAGCCGATCAGTGAAAGTAGGCTCGCCAGACGCAGACGGTGCAGGTCTCGCTCGCCTGTTCATCTGTTCCGCACAGAGAGCTGGGATCAAGGCATCGGTCGAGATAAAACCGAAAGCTCGTTGAAAGCGCACACTACTTTCTTGTTTTCATAGTTTTAGATTAACAATAAAACCTCTTTTTTTAATTTTAATCCTTTCTTCTCACTTACAAATTCTTCTAAAGACCATTTTCTTTTACAGGAACCTTAAATATACAATTGAAAAAAAAATCGGCCTGACTGGAGAAGCTGTTCTCAATTGATGTTTTATTTTCAACATTTTATCGGATTTGTAGTTGTATTTTTTATTTATTATAATCAGCATAAAAGCTTGTTTTTGTAAACAAGAGAAAAAATTGTTAAGAGTAAAGGATTTAAATAAAATTTGGTCTTGAAGTGTATTTCCTTGAACCAACATTTTCTTTTGATAAGACGGTTCGATTTCCATAATACCTTTGACAATGGCCAAAATGAATGAAGTTGCATTCAAATAAAAAGAAATTGCATTCAACATGCATAAAAATAAGTTGCATACTTAAGTCAAATCCGGTCGAAATATTCGTATAATTGCGCATGAAATTAGCATAGCTACACACTTTTCATTCGTATACGTGAAATTCAGACTTTTCAAAATTCCTTGTTTGTTATCCGATGTTATTTAACTGTTACGTCAAAGAGCTTTCGCTAGATTAAATTTATTACATGGCTAACTATGGTTTCGAGCGATTCCAGCATCAGATGTAATAGTACCACAAGGCGGGACCTGTTCCAAGCGAGCCAAACTGATAAGCACTGATAGTTCAGACTGGAAAGCGCTTTAGATATTAAACAATAGATCTACGTGGAACGTATTATAGCTAGTCTTTACATCGTTATCAGGAAAGTTTTGAAAAATATACTGACAATGGTTTCAATAAAGCTTGGTCGATTAAAAACATTAAATTAGTAAAGTAAGTGACTATTTGCGAATGAAAATTTCTAAAAATCACCATCTTATTTATACTGAAACGCGATAATTCCACATCAAAGCAAGGGTAGTTATTAATGTACTTTTATTCAACTAAAATATTCAAGGTTCGTTTCCATTTATTTCCGTGATTACATTTATACGAACAGTTAGGTACTATTGTGCATTATGTATTTTTGTGGTTAGATGACAAGCAATATCGTCGATTACTCATAATAAAATATCGTGAAAAATTACACAAGTTCACATGAATAATCATATGATGTGCAGATAAGATTTTTCACAGATATTGCGTACCGCGTCCCAGTTTCCGTTATCAGAGTGGGCAGACAATCCAATCAGTCGTAATTGTCAGCGGTCAGATGTCGGACCGTAATGTAGTAACGCAGTGGTTTTCAACCTTTTTCATGTCACGACCCCCCTAGTATGAAAAAATTTTTGGCGACCCCTCGACTGCTTGCTTTTTTTTCATGCATTTTATTCGACAAACATTTTCATGCATTTTATTCAAACATCTTGGCAACATTATGCCAAGATGTTTGTAGGGATCGAATACTTCAATCCATACAACATTTGCATAATTAGATTTCGGATTAATCTGTCTTTATATATTTTTTTTTACAGAAGTAGTTTTTACGACCTCTCGCTATAGAGGCTTCGCGACCCCCCAGGGGGTCTCGACCCACAGGTTGAAAAACACTGTAGTAACGGATACCAGCCCTCGCTATCGGTCGCGCAAGAGCCTAATCACTTTCGTTGCAACCCCGGCAAGGAGGTCGCGGGCCGCGCGCTATCACGCAGTCAGCTCCGCGCATTGGCTGCGCGCAGGCGTGCGCGGGACACGCGACACGCGACACGACGCGCGACACGCGACACGACGCCACACGCCACGAGCCCGCGCTCCGACAGTGCCAGCGCCCGCGCCCCGGCCTCGCCGGGAATGGAGACCTGCTGTGCTCGCCGAGCCGAGGACCTAGTGGGCGACCAGGTACCTGTGCTGTGACACACCCCTTACCCCCCCCAAAGTGAAACGTGACATGAACTTATTTGGGATATTCGAACGTGAAAAACCAAAGGAAAATTGTAACGGTGCAAAAATCGAACGGTTTCGCAATCTTCAGGATGACATCGAAATGAATTCAATGAACGTGCGTATTTAACTAGCGGTATGAAGTTTCGGTGCGTTTTTCGTTTGGCCGTCGGACCCGCAAACTGCTGCAGGTTTTTCTCCCGTGAATTTCCACGGCGTATCAGGAAAACACGAATATAATTTAGTTAAAATTACAATCGAATAAGAATATTAAGACATCAAACACACGTATAATAAAAACAATAATACGAAAGTTTATTATATTAAATAAATAAATAAACACTGAATTATAATAATTAAACATAATTGATAATAAAGTTTCCAATTAAATACAATTCGTTTTACTTTTTGTTGTGTTTGCCAAATTTGTTGTGAAATAACAATCAATAAATTATAAAATCAGATCTTCGATAAAAAGGAATACAAAGTCCGACTGAACTTTATTATTGCTGTGCAAAAAATTCGATCATTGATTTTATTGTTGTATGCTAATTTGTTATCACTGATTCAATAATCGAGTATATTTACAGTTAATCGAGTATAAATAATAACTTATAATGATACTAACTAATAATTAATAAATTGAACATGCATTGTCCCGCGTAGAAAAGACATCAACGCTCTGACCGACGGGAGCGGCCTGGGAGTGAAGTTACACTTTAATTTTTCAATAGTAAAAACAATTGCAACTAATAATTACTTTAATAACTTTAAAATATTGTATTAGTAACTTATCATTATGATGATAAGTATACTTCTTTATTTAACTTTTTTTATAATATTATTTTACTGCGCGGTTCCTTGTCATTATTATTAAATATACATGCAGTTTATAATTGAAATAAAAAGCTTGTAATTAAAGGAATGATTATAATTTTATAATAATCATAACATTACGGATGATGATTAAAAATAATCCAACATCCAATCAGGCTACCATTTGATACGGCGGTAACAAAAAATAGTTAGAGAATTGTGCTAAATAAAACCATTTATATTATTCTACTTTCAAATACCATGTAAGTTTCTTAATATTGATAAGTTTACTAGTTAGTTAACACTTCATTAGGGTTCCGTAGTTTTTATTTATGTTTCATACATAAGTAATTGCGTGCTAAAATTATAACTAGGTATTAAATATTTTTGATAATAAGTATTGCGTATTACATATTACAAACAGTAATATTTAGCCAATACTGCGTTTGTAATGTTATTCAGTTTTGTGTGTAATTTATTTATTACCTAATAAGTGATCACTGCATTAGATAACAATGCAATTATTTGTTCCAGTTCATTCAACTTTTAAAAATAAAAATTACTTATGCTGGATTGCACTAACTTTGACAAACGTCAAGAATATGTCAAACTCCATACAAAAAACACCGGTTACCGTAATAGTTACGGTCAAAGTTAGGTGGTGCAACTCAGCCTTAGGGAAGTCACTGTTGGACTCTGATGGTCAGTATTTTTTTCTCTGTAGCTACTATTTCCTGATAATTGATACTTGGTACTTAAGCTTAAAACGTGGCACAAAAATAGAGACACAAAGAAAGCTCCATTGTAAAAAAATATGGAGAGTCTTTGGGCAACTTAAAAAATACTTGAAAATAAAGTTTAACTTTAAGAAATAAGTTGGAAATCGAGAATATTGCGGTAAGATCAACTAATGCAATGAATTATTACTAAAGTACCTAATATTGACCGAAAAGTTAGTTTCTTTGGTAAACCTCCGGTAAACTTTCAGGTAAATTGCTCTTTCGTAGTAGCTATACTTCTACAATACTTATTTTTGATATTTATTTATTTATTTTGTAATAGGTATATGTCTTTCAAAGGAATGTTACGAGCTAAAGATACTGAAAATATACTTAGCATTATGTATTTTATACATAAGCGGTTTTAATGAAGTAGTTTAATGGCCGACTAATAGTCAAATGAACAAAACAATGTTATAGTCAAAACCATCGACAACTACAGTTATGATAGTTCGTCCACAATATGAGAGGCATTAAACGTCTCCGAATACTTTATTAGCATATTAACTTTAAGGTTTTCGAATCAACTGCTAATTTATTACCATACAAGTGGATGTTAATTGAGTTTGAGTCTTTTTGTTATATTAACAAATGCTAGTATGCAAAAATGTCCCAATATTCCACTTTTTCCGACATCGATATACCTAGCATCTTCAAAATACAATGGATTGGTTTGTTGTGACTCGTTATAAGGTGAAATGTAACTTATATCCTACATATTATTATTAATACGAGTATTATATATTTTTTAAAGTTTCAATGATAAATTCTTAATGGCTTAATGAATAATAATAAAAATAGTGTATTCATTGTGTTTAATTACGCGCATATTCACGGTTAATACAGTGTGAGTCACGTTAAAGTGTACATATGAAAATAGATGAAACTAGACCTATTTTTATCGACAAAAAAGAGGTCAAAAAATTTTTGAGATTTTTTTTAAATTTTTTATAGAATTTTTTTTCTTCCAATTACTTATTGTAAAGAAAACATAATAACTTTTAAACTAAGCGGTATATCTTGATAAAATAAAAACATAATAATGCTAAATAACAGGCAATACAAAAAAAATACATAAAATACACAAAAAAGGCCAACAAATAATAAAAAAAATATACTTTTTGAAAAAAATCCGCTTAAAAATTCGTGTTTTTTTGGTTATTTGATAAATTTCTCCAAAAAATGCCCCTATAACCGGTAGTTTTTATTACTTTGTATTATTCTCTATCGTATTACCTTCGTAAAACGAAAAATTGCATGTCTCTATCCCTATCACAACGTTTGCAATGATCGTTTGAACTAAGCCTCTCTGGGCGCGCCATTCAACGCTTCGTTAACATCAAAACTGAAAATGGCTCTAGATTTGTAATTTTGATAAAGACAATTTAGATTTCAAATAAAAACAAAAGATTTCGAAGTAAAATAAGCATTTTAGTTAAAATTAAAATTGTCTCTACCTGTAGCGGAGAATAATGTTGTGGCAGGCCTTTGTTCAAACGATCATAGCAAATGTTGTGATAGGGATAGAGACATGCGATTTTTGGTTTTATAAAGATAATACGATAGAAAATAATACAAAGTAATAAAAACCACCGGTTATATGAGGCATTTTTTGGAGAAATTTATAAAATAACCAAAAAAACACGAATTTTTAAGCAGATTTTTTTCAAAAAGTATCATTTTTTATTATTTGTTGGCATTTTTTGTGTATTTTATGTATTTTTTTAGTATCGCCTGTTATTTAGCATTATTACTGTTTTTATTTTATCAGGATATACCGCTTAGTTTAAAAGTTATTACGTTTTCTTTACAATAAGTAATTGGAAGAAAAAAAATTATATAAAAAATTAAAAAAATATATTAAAAAATTTTTTGACCTCTTTTTTATCGATAAAACTAGGTCTAGTTTCATCTATTTTCATATGTACACTTTAACGTGACTCACACTGTATAATAATTACGTACTACTGTAATTTATTTTTAAAAATAAACCTTTTGTGTTGTAGAGTAGGTATACAGTAGGCCTTTCAACTTATTAATGAAGCTGCTGGAAAATATTACTCCTGCAATGATCACGCTTTACACGAGTAAAACATTATTTTATAGTTTATAAATTGTATTTATATACGCAAATGACGCATTGAACGAATTTAAATATGGTGATGTGTATTCTTAACGCGATTTTATTGATGTAGGTAGTGAATCAATCTTGATTTTTATTAAAAATTAATCTCCTCAAATAAATGACATTTACTTTGACCTCTCTCGGTTTTTGGATAAACTAGTGTTTAATCTCGTTTCTTTATAATGAAGATGGCAATTATGATTAATATTCGGTCTTAAGAACAACAACATAACTGCCGATCTCCCTTGCAGAGCAAAACAAATGAACGCAATCAGCAATAATCCAAGTCTACCGATCAACGTTGGCATTTGTTTTACAAAATTGCTGAGATTTAGAAAATGGACGTATTGGTTTGTACTATTGATCACTTTGGTTCACGAGAAAATCGCCTAATAACTCCATAAACAGGAGCTTACATTAAGCAGCCAATAAGGCAGTACCAGTATTACGATTATTGTACTTAAAAGTAATAGCTATAACTTCTGTTTAGGTTTCGTTTTACAAGCTTTTTAAAGCTCATGTTTCTACAGGTTGGACGCAGAAATTGCGCTATTATTTAATTTAATTCTCAGGTTAGTTAGTATTTTTTGCTCTCGTTATTGATATAGATATAGCAATGAATTTGAGACATGATGAAATCTTTTATATCTAGGAAACTGTTCAAAGTTAAGCTGAGGGAAAATCGTTATAGTTTTGTTGATCCGTTACTTGATTTTAATTGAAGTGATTGTTTTATACATGCTGATTTTCCGTACTTCAAAAACTTGTGGACACAAAATAAGTCTAGCAACAGGTTTCTCACTCTACAAGATTTATTCTGAAAGTGCAAAAATAGGTAATCTCGGTGTCACAATGATTTCTATTGATAGATTGTCTAAATAGAGAATGGTTCAAGAATACTAAATTGTGACTTTCATCTTACACCTGATAAATTGCCTGCTGCAGGTTTTCAGCTTAGTACACATGTAAGTTTATCACCTGCAGCAGATCTCCAGCTCACACCTTTAAGTTTTCCACCTAAAGACTAGGTTTCCATCTTACATCTGTATATTATATACCGCCTGTAGAAGGATTTTGCTAATACTTCTAGAGTTCTAAAATTACCGCTTATCTTACCTCTATAAGTTTTCCATTTATAGGGGAGATTGAGGACAGTTGTAACAGAGCAGAGGCGAGTTGTTACAAAGTTAATTTCCTTGGACCATTTTAACGAGTTAGCAACTTCGCGAATTCGTTGCTCTTTCGACACTTCACAGCTTGCGTCAAATTGTCAGCTCACTAACTGTCATAGGAGCAAAGAAATCGGATTTGTTACAGCTCGCCTCTGTTACAATTATAACTGTCCTTGGTGGGGAGACCAAGGACAGTTATAATTGTAACAGAGGATAGTAATGTGGTTACAGATGTAAATAAGTATTTTTGTTGCAAAATCCCGTAACAATGATAATTTACAGATGTAAAGCTTCAACTACACCAACGCAGATCGCCATCGCCGGCGCGATCATAGGCCAATGACAGGTCGTGTGGACTGTCATGGGTCGCGCGGCCTGTCACTTAAGAGCTTAAGAGTAGGCGCACACCGTTGATTTTTCGTCGGCCGATAGTTTAGTCGGGTAGTTGATCAGTATGGGCATGTATGGGAGTGCGCACACTACGCCGATTCGATTTGGCCGATTCTTCATACAATTTAAAATCGGGCACAACCCGCACAACTATCGGCCAACTAAAAATCAACGGTGTGCGCCTATTCTAACTTGTGCTTTTGCTTGCAGATAGTCCCGGGCGGCGGCCGCTGGGGCGCTCCGCACGGCGCCGGGCTGTTCGACTCGTGGTTTCAGATGCAGGTTAGTGAAAACTAATAGAAAATAACTTCTATGATAAAGAAGTTATGTTTATTAGTCTACTAGGATGGTACACCTACTTAAGTAATTTCACCGGGTATATTATATGACAGCTAACTTAAACACATGTGGTAATTTCTAACTGTTAAAAAAGTTGGTAAAAATACCTTTCACGCCAATTATTACTGAAATATTTTATATGGAAAATGGGTATGTTCCAACGAATTTTGTGTATTTTTCGTAAAATCTATCGCTATATTGACCTGCATTTATAGAAACAAACAAATGATGCATTCATAATATAAGTTCTCTAAATCTTATGACCATACAATATAACTAAAAACAAACGAGGCTTTAATGATCTGTAATATCCATAATAACTCTTGCCGTGTCTCAATCGCTCGGACAAACAGTCAAACTCTCTAATTAGATATTAAATAACTGAGAGATAATTTACACCCGGGATATAGCTTAGCTTCGTTACAACCCATAAATATCACCAGGCCAACTGCCTACAGTTTCATCTGAAACTAAACGAGAGGGTAAATTACGTATTACTGACATTGATGGCAAATAAACGATATTGTAAAGGCCACCATCCGAATGAACAACAGCACTCGCAACAATACACAAACCATAGCTAGAAGATATGAAAATCACAAACGTATTATGGATGCATAATTTTAAATCAAGTATCGGACCTCAAATAGTAGTAAACCGAGCATATACAACGGTACACAAGTCTATAAAATTGGTTATTACCTTTATTGAAAACGCTAAAGTGGCTTGAATTCAACACATGCGTGTAACTGACAGCTACACGCACGGAATCGAAACACCATGGAAGTACCATCTTTGCAGATTAATAATACAGTGTCAAACCGTATTTGAGCTATTATAGACCTTATACAGATGTACATAATCAATAAAGCCTTCATTTTAACATACTTTTTATTGGTAGAGCAGCTACTTGGTATTCAGAAGACGACTTTGACATTGTCACGTACGAGTATACGCGTCGGTCCATAGCTGTTAGTGTAACATCTATTATAATAATAATTGAACTTGTAATTGTTTATTTATTCTCGGTTTCACAGTCCCAAATTATTTCTGTGACTGACTCACTTACTTTTGTAAACTTTATTACGCTATTATTATATCGTCGTCTTTTCGACTAGAACAGTACCTCTAGCATGAACAACTTTCATCTTCGAATCGTTTGCGTACTCGATAAAATTGGATACTTAATCTTCGAATTAAATGATAACGGGACAATTTTGATACTCAAAATAAGTTTCATGAAACCACATCTCATACTAAGTTCACTTTACGACACGTTCACAAGGGCGCTGTTGTAGTTTTCTTACTAAATCTTTTGATGGCGATTCGAGTACGCAAACGATTTGAACTCGAAAGTTTTTCGTGCTAGCCGTACAGACTATCCAGTAACAGGTCGTCAGTCCATCAGACAGGTGGTCATTTAACTCAAGTGCTGTTTGTAAATGATTGAATAATATACTATTTGAACACTCAACATGATAGCGATAGATGTAATAGTTCGCCCGCGGCGGGATCCGATCCTGTGGGCTAATTCAAATGCATTTGTCGAGAGTAGAAATCGTCTGTNGATTGCACTTGAATTACCCTACTGCAACCGCTGGTTTTGAGTAGGCGGCTCTTTCTATGCACGACATTGACGCCCGTATTCACAAACGTTACTATGAGGTCTCACAGTGCGCGTGGACGCACAGGGTGACAAACGAACCAATCACAGAGCTCTATTTAACGCTGTGCGTTCGATTTGCTGCTTCACTTAAGCAAGCATCGTTTGTGAAAAGGGGCGTGAGTATCGGCTGAAAATGTAGTAATGGTTGTGTTTTAAAATTAGCTATTTCTAGGCTTTTTGAAGGAAAAGTGTTAAAAAAATATTACTCTAATTAAAACTATTTCATCATGAGTAGATACTACCTGTTAGATAAATGTAATAATTTTTATTCCATAAGGCCGTGTTGGGTAAATATGAAAATAAGTATGTAGGTACCTATTTATAAACAAATTTTTTCTTATTAAAAATTAAGTGTTGACGCAGAGAGCGTAATTTTATAATGAAAAAGAGCCTTTAAGTATTGACTGACTAACTGGGTATTAATAAATGTTGTATTTATATTACTCGGTCGACCAATAAAAGCAAAACCAACGACATTCTCATTCACAGCTCACTTGCATCGATGTAATCATGCATACGATCTGTTTTACAATTATTTAATGCATGGAGACACACGCATTATGCATTTAACCCTTAATCGGACAAGCAAGTTCGAATTTTTCGTTGTTTTTGGACAATGATGCAAGGCTATAAAGTTTGAAAAAAAGTGGTCACTATGATGCTCCGCAGTCTACAGATTTTTAGTCAGCCGATAGTTTTGTCAGCGTCAATTTTCAAAATGTGCGCATTTCCATTTCCAGTCAATAAAGCATTATAGAGGGAATTGCGTGGAATACAATTTCTGACTTAGGGACTTTATTAAGACTAGTTACGAGGTGAACATGTCAAAAGTCCCCGCCCTTAGCCTTTGAGCCGGTACAGTGGGGAGAGGGGGGTTTGAAGGCACTATTTTTCGGTTTTTCGCTTAATTCTCGGAAACTATGCGTCCTAGTGACATGATTACTATGAACCAAAAAAAGCTTATTTTTGCTACAGGTGAGATAGACAAGTTTTTCTATATCTTGTATAGTTTTCGAGGCATAACTTACTAGTCTAAATAAAGTCCCAAAGTCAGAAATTGTGTGCCACGCATTTCCCTCTACACCGTCGTTAAAGCATTCATTTGACTGGACTACATACTCGTATTATTATAGCTAGTTCATATTGATCAACAACACCACTCAACTATCGGCCGACTAAAAATCTGTAGTCTGGGGGCGTCTAAGAACAATTACCAAAATCAGCTTAAGGGTTAAGTACTTATAACTAGGATATTACTAATATTGCGCGGCATTTACACGCCACATCGGCTATGTGGCAGCCATTGTTGCGGTTCACACACCATGGCATGGTATGGGAACCATTTGGTATATACCATGGAGAAAAATATGTTAAAGTGGTGATTTGTAGCCTATATTGCTCTGTATTAGGTAATGTGATATAGTGTATTTTTGACTAAGTTGTTTAAAAACTGAAATGTTTTTTGATTGAAACAAAAAAGTTAGATAGTTAAACAAAAGAGTTAGTGCTTAATTTCCACTTACCAGTATTAATGTGAATATATTGAAGGTTTTTATCACCTTTAAATATTCTTGTAAATAGAGAGTACAGTGTATCATAAATATGTACACAAATACCTTGTAGAAGCTCTAAGCTGTAGGTAGTCAACTAAAAACATCAATGATCAAGAACTACAAATGTTTGGCTGGCATTAATACTTAATGGACACGGGAATACTAAACTTGTTTATCTCATTTGACCTACTAAACTGTATTTTAACCCTATTTTATCAGTTTATATCAAGTATTAAGCACACTAGTAGGTAATTATGTACAATAGCTAAGCTAGTCTACGATTAGAACAATTTAGACATACTTCTGCGCATGAAATAGTCTCGCAAAAAATTGATAACGCACGCTATCGTTCATTTGAATTGTAATTAAACACGGTGTTAATACTGACCAATTAATATTGCACCCTTGCAATCAAAGAATAGGGTTCACAATGTAATTCAGCTGTTAGGAATCTTTCCATGAGCTAGGTGTTATCACGCGAACCAAGTTCTTCTACCGTTATCGAAATCGTAAAATTGCTGTTTACAAAAAAAAAAAACAATAACAAAGGCTTTAACCGTCCAAGATTTCTATTGTTGTTATCCTACTAATATTATAAATGCGAAAGTTTCGATGTCTGGATAATATGTTACTAATAACTAATAACATATCTATAGGCTATCATTTATGATGATCTGTGACAAACTAAATGTCACGCGGGTGAAGCCGCGGGCAAAAGCTAGCTAGCTATATTTGACGCATAAAAATAGGTACCTAGTATAAAATGAGATACATTTTATACTAGGTACCTATTTTTATTCGGACTTCAAAATTTTTTTAGCGCATCATTCATCTGATAATGCTGAAAATTCATAAATGTTACTACGATAATTATGTTGTCTACAATTTTGCAACAGAAACGTATATATTGCGACAGCGCATCATACTACCTATACATAAATTTTTATTGCAAAATGGCTTCTGTTACAACCACCATAAGACAGTGTCCAGCTTGATGTGACGTCGCCTCTACCTCAACCGAACTGTTACAGCCGGCTGGGTTACCCGCTCACTGGGTAACCCTGGGTCCCTTAGTCACAACACATGGCAGGAACACGATTAATCTGTTTATTTGTTTAACCTTGTGGTGTTCTTACAAAAGAACGACAATAACAAGTGGTCTAATGTGTGAGTATGCACCACACGCGTATTGTGTGCGTATGCTGAGTGTGGACATATCTAGATGTATCTGTCACCGGAAAATAACAAGAACAGCATTTACAAATTTCCTAGGAAAATAAACTTTCGTAGTATTCTAAACGAGAGATAAATCGTATATTTTACGCCCCCATTTTCGCAAAATCAATTTGCGACGTCTCGAGGCAGTTCTAACTAAATCAAGATTTGACGTTAGAACACTTAGATTAGAACTGTCACTTCTCATATGATTGCTTTATCAAATAAGTACCTACCTAGTGATTAACAACGTTGTAATTATTATAATCGGTAGTTAGTGGTTGTGAAAATGTATTCATTTATTTAAATATAATTTCTGCTAATAGTATTAAAGCTCTTCCTTGACAAGTAACATGTATGGCATATATCCTCGATTAGAACGTTTGCTTTCAGATAAAAGTTTGTTTATTTTGATGAATGAACACATTTACACTTAGTGTCTATCGTATGACACACATTCAAAACAACTAAATTAAACAGAAATAGGTATATAATAAAATATAGTACTT